AAAAAAATATTTAAAAAAAAATAATGATATAAAATTAGGATTCAGGGCCAATCGATCAAATATTATGTATGCAGCTCTGTGTTTTGTCCACTTACAGTAGAACCTTGGGTCACGAACTCTTCTGACCACGACCAAATCGGGTGCTGACCAAAAAATCCACTAAATGTTTCAATCTGGTTGCGAACACATCCTCGGGTTGTGATCAAACACAGCTGCAGCGATTTTCCCTGCCGCACCGATTTTTTTTTGTACGCGCATGCACGGTCAGTCTTGGTTCCGGTCACGACCAAATTGGGTTGCTACCAAAATCCTGGAACGGATTATGGTCGTGACTGGGGGTTCCACTGTATCTAAAAAAATTTACAAGTAAGAACTAGCCACAGTTTTGTGCAGTACAGATGAAGTAATTTTTTGGTAATTATTTTTCTCCTACTAGTTCCATGGATGAGACCAGAACCAGTGGCAGGTGGTGATAGCATTCCATATACATCTCTTCTAACACATGAAGACCAGGCTGAAGTCTTAAACCGTCTTGATTTTGTGCGCAGAAGCCTTATAGAGTTGCAACATGAGGTGCAAGAATTACGGAATAGCCTACAGAGTTTAGCTGGAGAAATTATTGGAGAAGTCAGGTGTGTATCTGTTTTTCCCAGATTCAAGACTACAGAAGATTCCAGGTTGCAGAATCCAGAGACTATTGGTCAAGATTTGTGTCAGAACACTAAGATTACTCTTGCTGTTATCTGCAGGACAGCTAGATTTATAGTGTAAACTCACTGATGCTCCCTTTGTATATAGCTTCATTTTTATTTTTTAGCAGAAGAACAACCTAATAATTCTGAATGTCAGAACAACAATTGTATCACTTACAATTATTGCTTAATTTTGTAGCTGTGTAAGAAATAGAAGACTCTTTTCTAAGAGAGAGGATTTGTGAAAGAGGCAAGCTTTTCTTTTAAAGCTGCACTTGCAATTTTAACAACACATTTCCAAATAATGTTGGGTTTAATGGCCTTTGCTGAATTCAGCTTTTTCTTCTTACCCTTTCTTTTATTTGGATGTCTGCCTGCTTCTTTGCTTCTTATGCTTACATTTTTAGGGTCAAAACCATGAAGTAATGCTTCCCATTGGGCTTTTCCTGTTGCAATCATTACTATGCCTTTGGGAAGTTATTGGAGAATGTTTATTTCCCTGAAGAAATTTGAAGAAGTTGTTCCCCTCAATTTTTTTTCTGCTCAGAAAAGTGTAGAATTACAAATGACCTACTTTACTTAAATTAACTAACTTTTGATAGCCAGCAGATGATGAGCATGTTGATGAAATGCAGAGCATGATCTCCAGGGAGTTTCCAACTCATGATACAAATATAACATGTCACAGAGTCTGAGCAACAGCTAGATTTTATCTGATATTCAAGAGGCTCAGAGAACAGATGACATGCTTTTAATCCATGATCAACACTTTTGAGGAGCAATTATTTCCATAGTGTAATGAGAATACAGTAATGAAGACAAATTATTATTTTAAAAAATATATTCTGAGACTATTTTCCTAGAATATTCAAAGGTTTTTCTCGGTGGTAGCAACTTGTCCCAGTAGGTTAGATCATGTTTCCTATATTTGTTTTCTGCCAATTGAATATTTTTCTTTTCATGTAAGCATGTGCCCTTCTTGTTTAATTTTATTTGCTCACTATGGCCATTATATAGGTATCTTAACTTTTATAAATACATTTTAATAATTTATGTTTTGTAAGTTATATTCCCATTTTTGAAGGAATATATATATATATCCCTTCAAAATGGGAATATAACATACATACATACATACATACATACATACATACATACATACATANGTCTGCAGAGTGCAAAAACTTTTTTTAAAAAAATTGCCTCTTCAAAATCTTGGTGCATCTTATACTCCGAAAGATACGGTAATTGTGACAGGAATTCATGGCTGGCTTATCACCTGAACCTGATGTTGTTCATGCCTAAGGCAGGAAAAGAACCCACACTCTCCTGGTTTCTACCTTGCGGTCTTAACCATGAGACCAAATTGGTAGCAAGAGATTATATTACATCATTATTCCTTATTGAATTTGAAATTCAGTGCCAGTGTTCCATATTATTTTGGTGAATTCCAGCGTAGATATGATTTGAGACCACAATTCCTTTGTTCTCCTAAATGAAATCATGAATTCTATTCTGATTATTTTAAAATAATTTCAACAGTGCAAACAGGACTTTTTTTTATAGAATTAGAACTGTAACAAAGCATTTCTATTTATATCTTTAATGCATATACTTCTTCCATGCCACTTGTCAGAAAAATAAAGGCTGTTTACTGAAATACCAACTTGTTGCATTTCAGTATTATTAGTTTTCAGTATTATCAGAATCATTATAAGATACATTCCTAGAGTTGGGCTCTGATTTCTCAGTTTAGGCCCATTTCTCTGGGTTTCTGTGTGAGATGTCTGAATTTATCTGTGAAATTGGTCCCTTTCTTGCTTCTTGAATAAATCCCAAGACTTTAGGTAATTAATAAGCCAAAAAGCATAAAATTGTATAATTAAAACATAATAAAAATATTGTGAAAATAAGCAAAATAGATATAAGAACTCATTTTAGATAAAATAATGATTTTATCTAACTTCTGAAGCCAGTTGTTGCTAATCTGCTCTTTAGAAGAAGGTGCTCCATAAGGCAGTACCCACTAGCTATGAAACAGCTTCTCCAGGCTCCTTAACGTATATGAACAACAATGCACAGCATTCCTTCTTGGACAAATATGTAGGACAGGTCAGGTCAGTTCTAACTGTAGAAAGTGGTGGTAGCAGAACCTAGGAGCCAAGCCATTTAGGAATTTACTAGTAATCAGTGTGGTACTCACAATATCAGTGTACTGACACTGAATGGCCAACACAAATCCTCCTAAATAAAGAGAAGATTCAAAACCTTCAGCTATGTGTGTGGCATCCATGATTGCTTAGGACAGTCCATGGTCACTGTGGAAAACCTGAGCCCTGCCAGATACTCTTCCTAAGGCCTGAAAATTGAGGTCCCTCAGGACTAATATCCAGGGAAGCTCCCGTATCAGCTCTGCGACAAGATCCATCAGCATGCCAAGAGATCCTCCTCAGAATACAGCAGTTAGTATATGAACAGGAACCTATGCTGTCCCTATATTAATCTAACACAGAAGTATTTGTACTCCATCAGCCCCAGAAGTATGTCACACAGAAATTTAAATTGATATTTGTTTACAGTAGATTAAAAAATAACAATATAAAATTTATATATAGGTATGGGTATATAGAGATATGGGTATAACATAAGGAAACTGGATGTAAANCTAAATACAGCTTCAGTAATGCAAAATGTAAAGTGTAAGGTATAAAACCTACAAAGTGAACGCAAAAGCTGCGGGTATAGATTTAGCACATTCACTTCTCCCGCCCTTCCCACTTTCTCCTTTCTTCCTCATTGGCTCCTTGGGCAGGTGCTTTGAAACAAACGGATTTACGAAATAGAGGCGTGGCTTTGCGTCAGTTTTCCGCGCCGTTAAATTTTTTTTTTTTTTAGTACCCAGGCGAAAAAACTGGCTTGTCAAGAGCCGGGCAAAGTTGAAAGGCGAAGCCCAAAAGAGGGTGCAGGGCAATGATATCATTGTAACGCGACTATGGGGAAGGGAGCAGTGCGGCTTCAGAGCAGGAAGGTGAAGGGGAGGGAAATGCGGTGGACGGTGGCCGCTTGAGAACTTACCACGCAGGAAGCGAAGCGGTGTTGGGAATACTTGCATTACGCGGTGAGAGTTCCGCTTGTTTTGTTTGGTAGATCCCTCTCGTTTGGCTTGGCTCCGTCCGTCGGCTTTATTTCTCCACGAGGCCCTTTTTATGCGGCTGTGCCTTCGGACGTAAATCTCACTGAGGTTCATGGGGATTGCACTGCGATCAATCGTTTCTGCATTTGTTGGGCAAAAAGGCGTGTGATCTGGGGGGCGAATAACGCGATCCGGCGACATGATGGGACACCTTGTCTATGGAGATTCTCAGTCATCCAGGTCACTGTTGTCCCAAAGGCGCTTTTTCAAGAGGCAACTTTCAAAGAAAAAGCAGAAAGCCCAGTTGCCTCTTTAAAAAAGCACCTTTGGGATTAGACACCTTGCTTTTCAGCGTGTGAACAGGTTGACACGGGTCCTCCTTCTGCCTCTGAAATGCAGAACCAAATGCTTTGGAGAGGCGCTAGGTGCCAGCGATTCCCCCGATGACACGTGCGCTTCCGAGTGCCACACTGCGCTATTTCCCGCTGTCTCTTCAGTCATCGCGTGGGTGCGGTGGGTGTTGGCAGGTTTCCTTTAAGTCTAAGGAACGAAAGGTGATTCCATGCGATAGCGGTTTCTTTGAGTTTCACTTCTCCTAAGCCGCGTGGGCAAGATCTGGATTTCCATGTCAAAATATATGCCCTGAGGGCAGAACAAGAAGCAATGGGTGGAAACTAATTAAAGAGAGAAGCAACTTAGAACTGAGGAGAAATTTCCTGACAGTTAGAACAAATAATCAGTGGAACAGCTTGCCTCCAGAAGTTGTGAATGCCCCAAC